TTTCCTTCGGGAATGAACCCTGATACTTGATAATTAGGGAAATAATTAAGGAAACATTTCTCTACAGCCGCGACCGGTACATTCTCCTTAAAGCAAGCAACCGTTTAATCACAGATCGCCCTAATTTGCATTTAACACCGTCTATTTGTCAGAGAGGCAGCCGTGATTTGGTAACGAGCCGATCACGTTGGACCACGCCAAATTCACGCCCCGCTACCAAATCAAATTCCCCGAGCCCAATATTTCCGTTTCGTTTCATTACGTTCTCATTTTCGTATCATTTACAGGTACTCGCGATATCTCCCCTTCCCGTTTGTTCCTTTTCAGCTTCGATAGATTCGACAGTCCGTTTTATTCCCAAGGTAGATGCAGTTTGCAAATTCAGCAAACTGATTAAAAGAATGATGACTCGAAGCGAGAATTTCAACCGGTTACTCGACTCTCTGCAAATTTCCTCTGAATGGAAATGGAGAATGTGCACGAAAGTGGCGCAAACATTTATCACTACCAAGTGATATCAAAAGCAGATATCAAAGAATGATTGTTGCTCAGCTAGTGGTTGCTCGTATCGAGCCTCTCTTCCGCGCGGAAAACATGCCAACGTGCCATTTCCGAATGTTTCTTGATGTTTCCGAATGAACGAAACCGTCGATTAATTAACTCGTCAGAATGCAGTCGCCGCGACGCGACGCGACATTCTCAACGTGCGATCGTTTCGCCGTGTTACAGCTTGGGTGGCAATCTTAATTCGCATCGTTTCTCGGATGAATCCAGCTTGCAATCATCTTAAGACTCCCGGATTAAATGCCGCAACGAGGCAAACTTCAGTGTATCAAGTTATGTTTTATTCACGCTGTCGAATCCACATGAAATTTAAACACACCTATCTCGATGGTCTCCGTGGAAGACAACACGAGAAATACCACAAGTATTTTCCTTACAAATAGCAAAATTTAACGACAAAACAACAAATTACAACTCCGTAGAAATGAACTTGGGTGAATAAAAAAAGGAAAAGAGGAAAATTAAATAAAACAACATATTTGAGTGCATTCGTTTAACAGGTTTGAGGCGTGTCCCGGCGGCAATTATTTTTTGTATTTCCGCGTTGGAACACTAATGAGGATAACGTTATTATAGTAACGGCAGACGGGGCATAGAGATTCGCCCCGCAATAAAAGCAGGTGATCGTATTTCTGATTTTCCAAACTCGAAGTTGTTTATTTCGTTATAACAACATAATCAGACCGAATCACATTTATACGAATTGCGGAAAACCGCGGAATTTTCAAATTAGCCTACCCTTTATCAGCGTAATCCTATTATCAACGTAATTCTCAAGGAACTACAGTTCGCATACTCTTGCTACGCAGTTAATCCTACAAGCCCGTTCCTCAATATCATGTTGCACCGTTGCGAGTCGTCAAGCAGCCCACGCTGCAGAAATGACACTTTTGCACAATGTGAAGGAGCAAGTTTGCCGCTTCTACTAATTAGAGTTATAGGATCCTTTGTTTCCACCATTCTATCATCTGTTTAGCCGGCATTTACGTCCTTTCAGTGATGGGTTTATCCAACGAAACTCGATAAATTTCATTACGAATTTTACAGATACAAAATTAGCTCGTTTACTTTTAAATCATCATGGAGATATAATATTTGAAAGAAAAATTTAGGAAGAAAGAAAGAAGTTAGCCCAAATAATTGCTATATATAGAAAGTTCATTTGTTTGACATTACACCGACCGTGCACGTATCATTTTCGATACGATTACACGCAAGATCCTAAGTTTTTATGATTTAGAAACGATAAACAATTTAACTTCTTTCCTTGAAAGTCAATGATCGGTGGGACTTTGATCCAAAGATTTGGCGTCGCCCGTTCTAACATAACAATCATCCAAGAATCAGGTGTTAAGAATTTGTCAGTGAACTTTGGTAATAAAGTTATCGACATTTTTAAAAACAGCAGTTTTCTAACTCTGGTGAAACTCCTATATTTTCAATTCATTTCCCACGCAGCTCAAAATATAGTCACGGACAAAAAATATGACTAGACTTAACATACAATACATTTTTTTTCAGACCGTGGTATGTGGTGAGAATCTAAGATTCCACCCATTAGTATTTTCTTGTCACATCCTGCTGTATCGATTTAGACAGATGTTGAATCGCAGCGCTACAGTTTATAGGAATTAAAATCTATTGAATTGAATGTGGTGCATTCAATATATTTTTTTGGCTATGGTAATAAGGCCCCTTTCCGTGTCACATCCTGTTTTACCGATTTTACAACCGCAGCACTATTAATAGTGAAAATTAAAATTAAAAAAATATGAGCAGTGTTGCCAGTTTCGAGAAATATTTATTGAATTAAATCAATGAAGATGTATAAAAAGCGAATTTAAAACAGCGAATAATGGAAATTGGGATGAAAAATTTAGTACACATTTGACTGTCAATACGTATTTAAAAATATTGATTAAAGTGTGATAATTCTATAAACAACACAATAACTACGACGCCTCCTTATTTACGAATGTGTAAATTCACAACCTGAGTGAATTATGTTCATCCCGTAAACTCTATTTTACGAAAATTATAACTTATGAGTAAACATTATACGTTGTAAATTATTTCCTGCAATATTCATCTGTTTCGAAATTACGAATTGTAATTTACTTTTTTAAACGATACCATATATATTATCTTTTTTACAGTACGACGTTATTTATTGTAAGACGAGTACACTGAGTTGCATTTTCGACGGCCGAAATCATTTATTTCTATGAATTATTAATAAAAATGATATGAAGTATGACTGACTTACTGATATATAAGTTAGTATTAAGATTTTATGAATTTAAAATATTGCTCGTTGGTATTTTCCTCTATTCTGATTGCCGTGAACTTGCAGATTAATCACTTTTTTATTGACTTCAACGATCCGTAAATATCATTAGAAATCGATATCCCAAATGATCCTTTTTTCAACAAACAAACATACTCATTAGAAGAAGAAACTGTTCAAAATGCTTTACAATACATTCAAAAATCACCGAAATTCGTAAGGGAATAGTGAGGGAATAGTCAGTCTATAATTTCACCCACTTTACCTTCGTTATTGCAAATAATGACAAAAAAAATGCGAATTAAAAGGACACAGGCAAGTTCCCGTTTTCCTGACGAAAGCACTGTTGTCAAGACGTAAAAGTCTTACATGGTTGCTACATTTCTGTTACTGTTCCGTCCGGCGAATCGAAGAAATAATTAAACTAGAAAAATTGCTGTGTTAGAAGATTTTTCGTATGTTTTCGTATCCGCACGAACTCAACCAACCTTGTCTGTAGAATAATGTTACATCTACATCGAAAGTTATTGACTTAAACGTGAACGTTTTCTTATTTGCTATAGTTAAAAATACGACCAATTTAATTTTTAATTGTAATATTATTATTTTCTACATAAACTAATATTACATGTCACAAATTTATAAATTAACATTTAGTACGTGACAATAATTATAGGTTAAAAACTACGGTGCAAATGTTTTATTTTGTAAGAAATATAGAAGTTACTGTATTTATTGCTGCCTTAAATTATACCTGGGATCTGTAAAACAATAAAACTGTAGAATTATAAAATTTTAATCAAATAAAACCATAAAACTGAATAATTATTGATTGCTATAAAGTGTTTTTGGAAGTATTGACAAAGAGTATCACCAGTTGTGTATGACTTACTTTACCTAATGGTTGAGCAGCGAAAATGTCATCATTAGTTGAATCTTCATCATGTGCACATCGATTAAACATTCGAAGTGAATTTTTAAATATTATTTCTAATTATTTAAACACTATCTAATATTTCTGATAACTACTTGCCACAATTAAAAGATAAATTCTCTTCCGTAATGTTTCTAAGTGTTATTGAATATTTAACTGATAATTTATGACATTCTTGAACAATGTACTTAAGAGAAATGACTTCGAATTGTTGAATGAAATAATTAATTTAATTGTTTAGTCGTAATATAAAAGTCGTGCAATTTATTAAACAATGTCTAAACAATTTTAGGAATACAATAATTTAATTGTTTTAAATGAATCGTTTAAACTGTAAATAATGGATTTTGATGATATTTTTATGTATTATTTAACAATTTTAACTATTTATTTATAACAATTGAGTCAGAGATTGGATTCCCAAACATTATTTTATAGTCTGAATAATTCATTTATAATAATTAAATTATTTTATTTACCCTAACGGAAAAGACAGTTACATAATATACAAATTGCTCTCAAATAATAAACGAGTGAAAATTTTTATATGTTGCGCAATTACTCTGAAGCAATAACCACCTGTTATTTTTGTCTACATAATTGTTCATTACATAAATTTCTATTTAATATACACCAATGCAGTTATAATTTAAAAACTAATATCGCGAAAATGTAAACTCATTTAGCCGATAAAATTAATAAAATATTACATTTAACACTGTAACATATTTATGAAAGCTTAACTTTGTGACAAAGCTTAAAATTGTGACAAATACTAAATAGTAAATAGTAAAAACTATTAATCTGTTTTTAGAAATACTAAAAAAAATTAGCAATTTTTCCGGATAACCGACGACCAAAATATTAGATTAACCTTGAGCGATACGAAGATTAATTATCAATTAATCTTTCGATATGTACACAACGACTAAATTTTAAAGTTTTGAAAAAAAAATTACCAATGGCTGCCGATCATTGACGACCGAAGTATTAGATTAACTTTGAGTGGTACGGAAACTTATTACTAATTGTACTTCCGTCGTTTGCACATCGATGTTGCACTATAGACTTTGTGGGATGCGTGCGTTTATCTTTAGTTAATTTCTGTAAATTCATTGTGAGCGCATTCTGTACAAAGACAGGTTTATTGAATTTGGGACGAAATTAGGAATCTCTTCTCTCTTCTTTCGTTCGATATTACTACTATTACTTTGTTCATTGCATTGGATTTGAATTTCCAAGTTTTGCAGTCAGTGTGTCATATCGGGGAACTGCTGCTTCCTCCGAAAAAACGAGGTGAGATTCTAGTCTAGTGTCCTTAGTAATCCGACTCAACGGTTCTTCGGAACTACACTGTGTCGTTGGGGATAGTGCTAAACTGATTGCCTCTAAAAGATCGAACCTCGATTTAGGACACTGACTGAGAAATTTGGAAACTTGAATCTAGTGCAATAAACAGAGTAACAATAGCAACAACGAACGAAAGAAGAGAGGAGATGAGGGATTCCTAATTTCGTCCCGAATTCAATAAACAGGTCTCTGTGCAAAATGCTGTGGTATGTCTGCAAATTTTTGTATGAATTCTATGATTGTATGGATTTTATGTTTTGTATAGTTATATGTACTGTATGTACTGTATGTACTATATGATTGTGAGAGAGATAAGCTTATAGTTAACGCGATGGTGTAATGAAAGATGAATGGGATATATTGTATGCTTTATTATAAACCCCGGGGCGTGTCTCGTGCGTACTCACCTCTTCGTGGTGAGACCTGGTAATTGATATCGTTTTACAAAGATTAAAGTTTGTAAAACGTTATTAAGCTAAATGAAATGAAAGGCGATAAACTTTAATTTTAGTAAAACGATATCAAGCTAAGAATTACGCCTATTTCTACTGAATTGTAGGGACAATTAGTTGATAAGTAAAACTTGACCACTCAGCTGGGCACCGTAGGACGATGAGGGATCTCACAAGGACATCGTGGGTTGCGTGCATTTTAGCTTTAAGTTGCGTACCTTTAGTTTTAGTTAATCATAATCGTATCTGTAAATACAATAAGCTTTCTGCTAAGTTTCTACAGAATGGTGAAGTTATTGCTATAATATATGTGAAACAATTTTTATTGTTTCTTCAGGTATGTAAAATATTTTACATATTATAACTTAATCACAATTATTTTCAATTTGAAATTTGATTTGTATTTTAATATGTTGTGCTTTGTGGTTTACTTTTCATCGGCCTTTTCTGAAAACTCTTTTGCACCAATGATAAGACCAAGAATTTTTAATATAAAAGAAAGATGGATGGAACAAGGATGGATATCGATACGTAGAAAGGGGTGAGACCAGGCAATCGTTATTATTTGTGATACAACTACTAATTGCATTCCTGCGATACAATTATGAATTCTATAACAAATAATATGATTTAATCGGCTGTGAACACTTTTTAGTTTTATGTAATTAAAGGATTTTTGAGTTATTAGGGAGATCGTTGATTTATAAAATTATAGGTTAAACTTCTTTATGATAACATATATTTAATTTGTAAATGTTAAAGGTCGTAGACTACAAATTTTGATGGACATTTCAAAACATATGATTTGATAAAATAATAGATCATTTCTGTGTTTCCTTTTCAATTAAATATCAGATTTATTCTAAATAATTTCCCTCAGTATATTTCAATAAGTAAAACATCCCGTTATAAGTAATAATTTTCAACGAAAAACCAGTCGATAAATTCGTAAAATACGAATAGGACACATTCTGACATACACATACACATTTTAGATAGTAATCTCGTGTGTTAGAATCTGGAGATACAACTGAATATTTTGCTTGTATTATTTTACTTTGTATAGTCGCAGAAGATTTTTACATTATTGAAAGTTTGACAATACTATAATGGGTCTCAAAAATCACTAGTTCCCCAAATTAACGTTGTTTGTTTGTAGTGTGCATTATAGAAGCCGTGATTTCTGTCGGTATTTCAGGTCACGAGCCACGAAATCCCATAAGATTCTTGGTTATATGCCTCGTCGGTGAGTGCGCTATAAATCAATGATTTTTTACCATGTTGGTAAATCAGAACGTAAGAAGATGCAATTCAATCTGATCTGTGCAAATACCAATTTATGCACTTATAATTAAATATTTACAACCTTAATCAGGAAAATAGAAGGCAACCATATTGGAGATTACTGATAGTATTAATTAGATGAAAATTTCAACGATAACAATCAATTCAAAAACTAAAAGTTTGACTTCGTCAAATTTTTTATATAATATAAAGAATGAAATTAAATATACCATCAAATTTAAGTAACTGACATTCTTACCTTTTGACACATCGCTTGCTCCTATTGAGAGAATGTAGAAGAGGATGTAGAAATTGTAAAGAACCTTTAATAAAACTTATGAAACGTTAAATAATTTTATTCTAAAAATTAATAATGTTTCAAGAGAAATACAAGGAACAGAATAAAAATTGATTGTAGGACGTCACTGGTAAGAGATAAAACAAAATGACCATATTAAGGATGTAAACTATGTAGTTAGTTGATGTATTAAAAAATTTTAATCTTTGAACGTCGGTTACACAACATACAGACTTAAATACGTTACATGCCATACTTGAGTAATAAAATATGGTGCCCTTTTTCACTTACAATATTCAAACAATGTGACATACAAACCGAATTCGAGTATATCTATTCTAACACATTTCCCAAAAATTATTAATGATATAAATTTTCTTAATTATCCTGTAAAACAAGATAATAAACACATAAAAACATGTCTACGTTAAAATAAATCAAATATTAGTATAATGGTTCTTTAAAATGAACCAGTAATTGTATTTATTTTGAGATAAATGTATAAAAATGTACAAATTAAATAAAAGAATAGTCAGAATCAAATGTTGTTCTAAAAGCTTATAACAAAAACTATAATATGTATTATAGTACAAACTATTACTTAGATGTGACAACCAGAAATACAATCTATGGGAAATAAATTTACTGATATACTGAATATTTTATAAACTACTTAATAAGAACGAACGTTAATTAAACGAAGTTGATGGTGGTGTGAGTATAAACAATAAATATTAACAATGAACGTAATTAAACACACATGCTGGCGATATATCTTTACGCCACGATCATCAACATGAATTATCAATGAATTAAATTCTCCCCGCGCAACAGATTCAAACTAATTTGGGGGAAGGGCGTGGATGGAATTACAAATGAAGACAAATAAGAATTTTGCTGATTTCCTGTATGTATCAGAATATTTCTAAAAACGAGTAAATCATACACTGCATATATTTATTCCTTAATATTTATCCACACTTTCTCGTGGTAATACAATTTGAATGAAATTGATTAAATTGACAAGTGTAAAATATAATCAAATATGTTTTCTCAATAACACTTAATACAATTATGTTTTTTTAGTTCAAAATTTTAATTATATATTATATAAATTTTACAAAATTTTTCACACTTCGTATGCAGATGTTTGCTCATTACTTAAATACTTGATTGACACTAGACTGATTGTTAGAACCTGAAAAATTTGATTTTTTTATTCGTCTGAGTAGATTAGTTTCATCATTTCTCAACAACACGGCTAGTGTTTCAGTGTGCATGAATCGATGAAGTTTTCATGTATTGGAAAAAACTAATTGAGAGAATTTTGTTATAAATTTTTGTAATTATAAATCTAAAATTAGATTGTCAACATATTTTGTGTTCCAAAAGCGATACAAATAAGTGTTTTATTAATAGTCGTAATTGTAAACGACCATATCGTATAAATTACACAAGAATTTGATTATTTTATAGACATGAAGACTTTGTTTCATTTTTCGTTTTACTGATTTCCTCAATAAAGACGGAGGTTTGTGACCCATGTGCGTCATACAGATTTATATCTGAATAGGTGGCTGATTCGTATTCACAATATTGATCGGTTAATTAAACCGATTGGAGTGAGCAAGCTAGTATTTTGAAATGGTGACTGATCCGGCAACAGGTGCGACGCAACTTGATTGCCGTTAGTTTCCGACAAGAAATTATTTTTCGCGATGATAGTTGGGTTATGCGTGATCGTTTCCATTAGCACTGGTCCATCAACTAGTGCTATGCCCGTAGCGCTTCGCAAACCATCAACAGGAGCAGTAGCTAAAAGAAGAAGCGTCTTCTCTATCTCTGTTATAAATATCCATAATTTTGTCCAGACGATATGTTTCTCTAATAAATGCTTATCCTTCTCTTCTTCCTCTTTGAGTCTACGATTTCCTTCAAGCAATTTCTTTGTCTTTCTATAATCTCCTCCTGTCAAAATGACCAACGGATCATGGACCACAGATATCTTCACGGTCTTTAGCAAAGTCTAATATGAAATCTGTATTGTACAGCAGTTTCATCACCGTATGTCTGATATATCAAGTCTGTTCCCTCCTTCGTCAGATTAACGAATGTAGAATCGTAACTTGGGGCGTAAGAAAACACCGTAATACAAAGATTTCTTTGGTATCGACATATTTCTCCTATCTTCTCGGAATCCTGCTAATGCTCCCGTACCGTAATTCAATTTATATATAAGCTGCACTAACGAGACTGGTCTTTCATCAGTTCCTGAAATTATGCTGGCTCCCGATACTATGATTTGTAAACTGGAATTTCCATCTTTCTTTTGTCGAAGAAAACCCATTTTTAAATTCTTCATTTTCAACGTTAACTTATCCGATGCTGATTTCTCAACTCTTCGAGTTTATCTTAAGATGGCTCCTCCAGCGTTATACCATCCGGAATGGCTTCAAATTTAATTTAAAACATAGCTAAATTTGCTAATCTCGGTTTTCTCTGCTTCTACTTTCTATGTTCTTCTGCCTCTTTGTTATGCCCGTCCTAATCGATTTGCTCCTATTTTTGAAACGTCTGGATTATTAAAATATTCCTTACCTAATTTAAAACCAAGTTCATCTTTCGATATGTCCTGCATGTAAGTTAGTACAGGTCTTATTTGCCGAAGTACTCCTGGTGCGACCATTTTAAGGCCAACGGGCAATTTCTTTGCTGTCTTGTAATAAATGATATCTGGATGTTTGTACGTGATGGCGTATCACACATTAATTTGAAGTTTTCTACGAATTTATTTAAATTTTGATAGCTATTATCATCTATTTTCTGCTTTAGGGTACTGAAATCCTTAGAATTAGTAATAATCTGAGATAATTCGGGTGCAATGCTCTCTGTACCTTTCCAAGCAAGAAATTGTTTTGGATCACGTTTCTCCATTGTTGTAGAAAATGAATCAATAACCGTTGAAGAGGTGTACGCTCGACTATTTTCTTAAGCAAGCAAGATCTAGGTCATTAATGTGGTGAAAGAGAAATAATACTATGGCAACTTGTGATACAGATTCTGTGTTCTCCAGTAGACGGTGGTAGCAACTGTTGATTAGGAATTCTTTTAGAGATTTCGGTTAAACTTTCATCAGCATCTCCAAGCTGAATTCCTCTCTTCTCCGCTTTTACGCGGTCCAAAACTGGAATATTGCGATCAACGCCTTGCATAGGTTTCTCTAATAAATGCTTTATCATCTCTTATTGCTTTTTAAGTCTACATTTCTCTTCGAGGAATTTCTTTGTCATTCTATGATCTCCTCCTGTCAGAATGTCCAATATATCATCGACCACAGTTAACGTATAGCCATCAAATTTACCTAAATTTGCTAATTTCTTTGGTACTCTTTTCTAAATTCTTCTGCCTCCTCGTTACACTCTTTCTGTCCCGTTCCTCTTCGATTTGCTCATCCATTATTGGAAGGTTTGGATTATTAAGATCTTCCGTACCTAATTCAAAACCAATTTCTTCTTTCAATATGTCCTTCATGTAAGATAATACAGATAATATTTAGCAAAGCATTTCTAGTGTAACGATTTTTAGACCAAAGTGCAGTATCTTCTTTGCTGCCTTCTAAGAAATGGTATCTGGATTATTGTACGTTGTGGCTATATCACACATTAATTTGGATTTTTCTATAAATTGATTTAAATTTTGATAGCTATTATCATTTACTTTCAGCTTTATGGTGAACTGAAATCCATAGAATTGGTAATGATCTGAGGGTATCCGGGTGCAATGCTATCTGTAACTGTCCAAACAAGGAATCGTTGATCAAATTTCTCCATTGATGTAAGAAGATTTTCCAATAATCGTTGAAGAGGTGTACGATTTTCTTAAGTACACAAGTTCTAGGTTCTCGATGTGGCGAAAGAAAATCAATATTATGGCTAGTGACACCTACTCTGTGTTCTCCAATAAACGGTAATGTCTGTGGTAACAGCTGACGATTGGGGACCTTTCTGGTATTTCGGTTAAACTTTCACCAACGTCTCCAATCGATTCTTTTCTGGATTACTTTCATCTCCTCTTTTTACCTTTGTGATGATGCTTGCATCTTTTATCATTCTTTTTCTTATTCTTATTAAGCTTCTAGTGTCCCACATATCTGTCATATACAAATTCCTGCGTTACAGGACAGTTGAGACCCATCTGTTGTTAATAAACACCCAAACTTTGGGACAACATTACAGCCTGACGTGGAGATTCGTTACCGTATTCAGGTGTCCGAGCACTATCCCCAACTTTTGAAATTAATTTCAAGGTAGGGGGTTTATCCGTGGTTGTATAATAGCCTCCTGTTACAGCGAGGAAAAGAAAATTATTTATAATAAATCAGACTTGTATATAATATGCACGTTAAATGTGTATGAACACATAAAAGCAAATTATGCATGTGTGCAGAGTAAGAGCATAATGTTGTAGCATAGCAAATAATCATGGGGGCAAACATTGCTTTGCATAATCTTGCAGAATTATAAAGTAGTGTAATAAGTGAGTGTAATTTTAAATTAGTAAAAATCATCAGGGTATTAACAGAAAAGAAGAAGGAAATATTGATGATAATAAAGATAATGATTACGATGATTATAACTATGATGATGATTATGATGAAGATGATGATGATAATGATGATGGTGATAATTATGTTGATGATGATAATATGTGTAATAATAGCAATAACAATAAAGATGATTTCATAACAAGACATAACAGTGACATTGTTTTCACGTTCAACAAACTTGAAACGAGAAGGAAGTAGCTTATCTTAAATGAAATAAACCTTGGTAGATGTATGCAATGAAGTAATTACTGTTGTATTGAATCTGCAGGAATAATCAGGATAAGAGCACCATTAAAATTGAAAATACCTCGTAAAGAGGTGAAGAAAAGCAAATGGCCTTACTGATGCCATAATGCGTAACAACCAGGAAACAAAGTGACTGAAGTGCAACAAATTAAACAGAATCTCAGGAAAATACCAACGATTTTTTTATAGCAAATGCAGTAAAAAATGTATTTCGTGTAAGTTCTTGTTGCACTTCAACTTATTCTAATAGACAAAAAAAAACTAAAATGGTTTGGGAAAACTTCCGAGTAATTTTGGAAGCACAGCTAGTTTCGCGCAACCAGTCCATGTCCATTGCTACACGTCACTTCCACGTTGCACCTGTTGATGTGAAACTTTCGTTTTTACTTTTGAATCTTCTTCACTTCTAATCCAACCTAAAACTCAGTTTGTCCGTGGTGGAAACATAGACAAAGTTAATGTACATTATTAAACGGAGTTCAAAAATAATTCGAATAAATATGTTTATCAACTTCAAACAAGGACCTTGTACCCTTCAATCTCCATATCTCGACTACTACATCCTTATTTGTAGATCGTTTCATTTGCTTTCTCGTGTGATGCAAATTTCGACTTCATGGAATTACATTCAGTGATATATAGTATCAATACTGTGATAGTACCAATAATGTGTACCAATACCAATAATATAGTACCAATAATGTGACGATTGAACAGTAATAAGGAAACGAATGGAGAAACATTATATCAAATAAAACAATGAGAGGAAGAAACATTTGATAAAGCAGACACAAGGATTGATGCAATATGTAGCTGAAAAAAAAGGACATCAAACGTAAGGAAAACATCTGATAGCGTAGCAACGATAACATCCAGCGTGAGCATGATTCGATTCACAGATGTAAAAACAAATGCATATTGCGTTGTTGCGATAGTCAGGACGATTCGACGCGCACAGAGTAATTTGTTACAAACACAGTGCAATATGATGATACTGTCGAAAACGCGAGACATAACGAGGAGGCCTGCGATGCCAAAATGATATTATGAAACAATTAAAAAGTAACCAGGAGTGACGAGAATATAATCGAGAAAAATCAGATTCGGCCCAAGTCATCAACTTTTGCCTTTCGCGCTTGTGCTTTTTTTTTCTTGTGCTTCGTTTCTTCGAGATCATTGTTATCACGTCGGCCCGCAGTCTGAAAGGATATTCTAACTATAAGTAGAATAATCACTATGTTGTAAAACAGCACGGAAAGCGGTTTGCAAGAATACCGCACTCCGCTACATGCGTAGACAATACGACGGCAATTACTGAAGACGTCACACATATCCAAGACGTTGTGGTAGATACAGGTCTTTCGTTTCCTTCAACCCGTTTCGTTTACACGTCAGTTGCACTGTTATGGCGACGCATTGTTCGAAGAAGCGCGCGTTATATAACCGAATGAATATCAATTCATCACACTTTCTACTAGCGGCGAAGCATTGAAAAGTTGATTTCAACACTTTCTAACATGCTCTCCTTGCAATATCCAACAGATATAAAATTTCTCTTCCATATCGACAAATTAATTGCAAAAACTCTAAACCCACCTGAACATCGTACTCGAGATTGTTTTAAAATGTGCAAGCTAAAATACGTTTGAAATCATGCGATAGTTTTAATTTTAACTAACGTTCGTCTATGCCTGTCCCTAATTTTTATCGTATTTGCCTATATTTAGAATGTACCATTCTGTTTAGAAATCATATACGCTTGACCACGCACGCGCACATACACACACACGCCACAAAAACTAAACTGATGAAAAAAAGAGAGTACTCCAGTCTACTTGGTTGATTCCTGCAACTAACTGCAAGAAAACAATAGAAATTGATGCAACGAGAATGAGTCATTCGTGTTAAATCGGATATCACGGCACGGACAATGACGCTGAGTACAATAAATAACGCTAACTAATCGGACGTTTCAAGGATTAGGAATTACTTTTTTTGAAACAATATCTACACTTTTTCTGTATCAGCGTACGCAGACGATCCAACGGAGCATTGTGTATGGTGCTTTATAAGCGAAAAGCGCTTCCTAACCTACAGGCTTGAAGTATGCAGTAGCACTTACCATACACGATGAAAAGAAACACTCGACCGTATTCACAAACACACTTTGCCGTACAGGATTCCGTATTACTAAACGAGCGTACACTACGCCGATTTTTTTTTTTGAAGTTTTGTCCAGGAATTCAACGTGGCGTCAACGAATCCAGTAGCGAGGCGATTTAAGGGGCAAACGATCAGCTGTTTCGGCAAAATCTCGAACGGAACAGGGAGAAAAAAGAGAAGCTTAATTTCTCGGTTGCATTTAGATGAAAATTCAAACATAACGCAGGTATGTCTGCGTTTTACTGTGCATTAGTCAGTCAATTTCTGTTTGTGCCTCTCTTCGAATCTCTCATACTCGAGACTCAACGTCGTGTTGACGAGATGGAGACAACGCTTTCAAAGTTCACTACGCTCATCTCCTTGCGTCTCCGAACCGGACCCATATTCAATCACCCGTGCAATTGCGTATCGAATGCGCAACGTCTAACTCCCAGAGGACGAACGGTTTCAGCAAACAATATTTCACAATAGTCGATTAAATGCAAGTATGTGAGTCGAGTCTAGTCGAGCAGATGCGGTTCGATTAGAACGCGTCGCTCACTGTTTGCTGCAGTCTTTAATCTCTGGAATTTACTGCTTAATAGTTAAACCTTCATTCAACTTGCGTTAACACATTGTTCTCCACTTACCTATTTCTTTGCCGTATCTATGTGTAAAGTTCTCAACTACATTTTACATTAACGTTAGATTGATCTTTATCGTTCCGAGGACGAGCATGAAGCAGAAATATTTCTATCGCGAGGCATTAATGAAATTGATTTTTTTGAAAGAAGAGCATCCCTAAGAACTCGACTGCCACCTGTAAAGGAGGGATATTGTACTTAAATTCACCCAGTTGCAATTATAATTATTTCATAATTGCTGTCAATTATCAACTAACGCTTGTATGATGTCGTGCAATATAATACGAGGTAACGACATAAGAGAAATGAAAAAAAGTAACTTCTTACTGCTCCTTCCAAAATTTATATACTGGCGAAAAAATTTTTTCAAGAGTTCGATATTATGTAAAGTTATCTTCTATACACTGTACTTCGTGACTGAGTAAAAAAAAGTAGCATGTTAAAGAAATACAATCAACAAAATTTCATGGGATAATAATTTCCTGTGTCATTTTGCTCCAAGCGATACTTCACTCACTATTTCGTAAAGGAATCCCGGAATATTTCCGGGGGCAAAGAATTTAATTCGTCTTGCGTTGGATAATTTTATTCTCCAAACTTTCCTCTGCTATAAACCGCTACGTGTAACGTTCTCATCTGCATTTTACATCCTTTATCATACAGGGCGATCTCAGAGCAGAAATATTCCTGTCGCGCATAGACATCAATGTACTAGATATCGTTTTGCAAGAGTAAGGAATAACGCAACGGATAGATTGATGGAAATAAGATATCAAGATTCTCTCGCTGGACAACTTTCGCTCCTGATCGTCCCATCGACATCGACCGTCGTTTGATGAAGGGTCTAGAGGTTTCTTTACGACTCTTTTCTTCGAGCAAAGAGCAGACAGTGCCTCGAGGCGCTGCTTCAATCTGGCACGTGATTGACAGCCGCTTCTCGGGAAGAAAGCCGAGCAAGTAGAACAGAGGTCACGTCGCGGTTGTGAAAGACGAAGTGGGAGGAAGTGATGTGCTATCAACCTGAATAATATTCTCCGCTACGTCTGCTCAAATGAGACAGGTTTCGACAGACCTTTCGTTTTCTGATCGCAGGCATTGTGCAACAACATGCGTCCGCAGTTGTCTGCGATATATTGTTCACACGCTCTATCCGCCAGATCCGTGACAGCGTGCGAGACACCAGAGCTTTCACAGAGAATTCGGACAATTTCCACACCATCGTCCGCCGTGTGTCTTTATTAACAATGAATTATCCGAACGCGGAGCATCCGAGCATCGGCTAACTAAATCGCCTCGTCGAACTCGCATTCCGCGGACGCGTTCCGTTTCCGCGCGTTTCCTCTATCCAGTCGCAAAAACAGACAATTCTCCGTCATCGTTCGTATCTCACTGCAGTCCAGAGTACTTGGAACCGTGCAACGACAGTGTCAGCTTGCACACTCCAAGGAGGGTGATTAAATTCATCGCTGGGACCTTACCAGCCGTATCCCAGGGAAAGCTAATTTTTCCTGCGTGATCGTACCTATTAGCTAACTCGAAACAATTGAAAACTACAATTAGATCGATCGCGATTGGCCCGGATAGAACTCTATTTTATCAGTATGTAGCGAAGCGAGTGTTTCCTTTGCACTTTTGATATAGTTGCGAATAAAAAACTCAGAAACGAAGGAGAAATCAAGGGAAAGGCTTTCCGTAGAAGCATCTTGTTAACTTAAAATTGCGAAAATTTAAAATTTTTTCATCGCAATAAAATGAACTTTAAACTTCCTGAGTGTTACATTCGTAATTTTTCACACGCGATTTAGTGCAACAGAGGAACAACAAAAGGAAAATTTGTGATACTCGTTGGGATAGATAGACGTCAAAGATCAACAAATGTCAGCGTTGATTCAGGGCATTTTTTGGCGAAGACGATTATTATTTGTCCGACATATCTCGAACTGGAAGGAGGCGGGATCCGTAAATTTTTCTTCGAACGAATTTGTGCGGAATACATTCGCTCCGAACATCTTGGTATATCTGCTAATTCACGCGAAGTACAGGTTATTCTCGACGAATGTCTTGATATGGTCATCGAAAAGTAATATGATCATCTTGTTCGAAATCGCTAGCGCTAAACTTGCGCGAGTAGTTACTTCAGCTAAAGTTTTTTCTCCGTAAACAGCGCATATTGCCAAAAAGCATAGAGTCCAAAATGCATTTTGTTCCCTTCCATTCCAAAAGAGTATGAAACAAACGCAAATCAATTTATTTCAAGCAACTCTCTTCCTAACGGCACATTGAAATGTACTTCAGATAGTATGTTCCGAATGACATTGGTATATTTATACATGTTCGAATGCCGAATCTAGTCAAAGTTTAGGCAGAATATTTCCGGACGACCCGGAATATATATATATGTCGTAGAATGTATGTCTAGCCAGTGTGGTTTCTTTTCGAGAATTCGTGACATATCCCCGAGAATAAACATCAATTGACACTACGCCGGCTACGCTCGGTGGAACAATCTTTCCCACAGCAATCTGCTTCGTGAAACATATAGCCGATTTTCAATTGCTGCCTCTGGCATCACGACAACGATTATTATTATGACGAGTTATTGTCCAATTCAATTCGCACAGCCAAAGAAGTTTGCATTTTCTGGAATTAATCGAAACGTGTTCTCGAAGGCGGAAACTATGCGCGGCTAGCTGAAAAGCCCCACTGATCTTTTTGACTTTTCAATTAATCTTTGTTCTTGACCACCACAACCGTGGAGAAGATGGCACTCTTTGAGCGTTTCCATCATTGCCCATTTA